TATATATATATATACCATCCTGGGTATGACGATAAACTATATCCACGACCTGGGTAAGACGATAAACTACATCCACGCCCTGGGTAAGACGATAAACAACGTCTAACAGCAAGGCTTCTGAGGGGGTTTTAAGGAGCGTGGCACCACCTCTTAATTGTTGGTGTTCTCAGATCCACCCTGACCCGGGGTGGTAGCACTTGTTAGGGTCCCTGCTATGGGAAAATATTTAACCCCTAAACTGGGATCAAAACACTAAGAAAATGAAAAAATAGATTTTAAGACTGGAAATTTGTAAAAAATTACTACTAGCTATAAATGTTTGAAGAAAAAATTATTACCAGCAATACATTATTTGAAAAAAAATATTACCAGTTATACATTTCTGAAAAAAAAATATTACAAACAATTAAATTTTGTCGGCATTAAATCACTCATGAGGTTGATATGCCATAAAACAAAACAAAACCAGACTATATATAATAAGTAATGTGTTTGAAGATAGGATTTCCGCTAATGTAAAATATTTATTATGAATCTTTCTTTACTACATTCTCCTTTTCAATGAGTGTAGAGTTTTCCATTCAGCCTGAATGAATAAGCGACCAACATGTGCTACGGTCCTTTGTTGTCCGTACATGAAATTGTGTCGTATGAGAGCACTGGTACTGTGATCAGAGACATCAGCTGATATAATTGTTTCTAGGTTAAGAATATAATAGCTTGAGAATGATGTACGTAATCCTGTTAACTCATTGAAATGATTCTAGTAACACAACTAATGAATGTCATTTTCTATTTTAAACTAGATCAGGGGTTTGTACCTTTGGGACAAAATTTAAAAAAAAACAACTCCACGGAAGAATTGCGTATATAATTACTTTATTATCTTCTTGTTTCTGAAATGCGATTTATCTTAAGGGTGTAGGTAATCATAACTCTCCAATGATCTGTTTAAAAAATTCGGGTCGTCTGTTCAAACACAAGTATCCACTTAAGTAACGTGTGAAGTAATAAAAATATATAGTTTCCCCTACAAAGGGTTTGGATGCTTTCTATTATTATCTTTGAATTACCATGACTTGATATCTTGGTAAAGACACTGGAATGGTTTCTCGTTTATTACCATGGTTTTACCATGGTTTTAAATTCAGAGGAAACTTTCTCTTAGACTGGATGCTGCGCAAGGCTATACGGCCTGTTTATATTTTTATTTACTCTATAGCTAGGGAAAGAAGAGATCGATTAATGACTCAGTAGCTTCAGCTTGTATTTTTACTCGTTACGCCGATTCAATTTTCCGCCCTGATAACTGTTTTTAAGGAAAGGTTTATTGGGAAAAGTATGAATCAATCTCTTTTCCTCTAGCTGTGGCTTAAATAGCTCGGTAGACTTGACGCTCTGACCGTAGTTGGAAACCAATCTGGAAGATCTTGACTATTATTTATGGAGAAAAATGGTAGTTACGCCTGCGTCCACCTAATATGGAATCTAAAATATTGGATAACAAAAAGATGATTTAATGAAGGGACAGAAAAGAGTCTGTTAAGTATTATCTGTTCTCCTGCATGGTAGTGAATACTGGACAATTACCACACAGACTAAGAACAAACTGGAAGCAAAAGAAATGTGGTTCTACAGAAACATACTGAGAATAACATGGACCCAACATGTGAGCAACGATAAAGTTTTAGAGAAAATGGAAACAAAACGGACACATACTTAACATCTTGAAGACGCGGTTGACATCTCTAGGTCATATAATGAGGATAGAGGCTTTAGAAAACTTGACACTCACAGGGTTGAATGAAGGCAAGAGGGAAAGAGAAAACAAACAGCGAGGTTGAGTAAATGACGGAAGAAGATCTAGGAAAAATAGGAAAAAAAAGATGAAATTTATTAAGACCTACAAAGAACAGGAAATTGTGGAGAGCCAGGGTAATGTTAAAATGATAACAGATTTACTCAAAAGAGTGCTGGTAAATTTTGCATTAACCTAAAATGAAATCCAAATTTTGAACGGATATAATGGACTCAGTGCCTCATCTAGTTGGCAAACAACTTGACGCTCTTTTCGATCGTTAAACCATAATAGAAGTAAACGACATAGCCTGAATCCAAGGCATCCGATTGCGACCCTCCAAGCCGAAAAGGCCACTCAAGTCTTTCTAAACTGACATTTACTTGTCTGACGATCGTGCCCAATGCTCAGATGGTTCGAATAGGACAGTTAGAATCGGCGCCATTCTTAACTAAATCCCCCGGTCGACATCATACCAATCTACCGTAACGCAAGACAAGGGTACGTGCACTGACCAACGTGCGTTATCATTATTGCAATGTAGTTGACATTAAATTGATAAGTTGGCTTGAATACCTGTATATTTAATAGCATTTTATTCGCGTAGGAAACTCCCAGATGAAGGCGAACGTGTACAACACACTTATCGATACACACATGCAAACATATACATTAAGATGGTCTGAAAAGGACAGAAAGATTATAACAGAATTCTCATTTCTCGGATTCATTATTTTATTAACAATAACGGATCATATATATGTAATTTCATATTTATACTAATGTACATGAAAATACTTTCAACCATATAGAACCACATAATGTACGTTTGCACATAAAATAAAATTTAAAAAAATCCTGGAAAAAATAAATATGCATAAATTCCTGAAAAAAATTATTTTGTTTGTGTTTCGGATAGATAGATAGATAGATAGATAGATGTTGAAAAGTTATCGGCACGGCTAAAACTGCTCCCAAAAGAATTGATTTTAAGAAGCATCTAGAGCCATCACACACACACACAAACACACATACACACACACACACACACACATATATATATATATATGTGTGTGTGTAGAGAGAGAGAGAGAGAGAGAGAGAGAGAATTTAATTAGGAATATATTGTCAGAAACTTCTGATCAGCATGAAGACCAGCGATAGTTCTTCATTTAAGAAATTTTAACTTTGTTCGTGTTGACGATTTTTATGGTTTCTAGCGAGAGTTTTATCATGAACTGCAAACTGTTTTCATAAGGTATTATAAAATAATTATTCGTAAAAATTGATATATATATATATATATATATATATATATATATATATATGTGTGTGTGTGTGTGAGTGTATGTGTGTTTACATAAATTATCGTTGCATGTCACAATAATTGTAGAATTATTGATGATTAAATTCATGATATTTTTTTCTGAGTGGTTAGCTTTTTAACAACAAAAGCTTTCATATCTACTGAACGTTGATTACAGTTCGCGAAGCGACACTATCCACAGATTCGAATCGGATTGAACAGTAAAAACAAAACACTAGATTTTCTTACCAGAGCTCTAGGTTATGTATCTGTATGTCTCTTTCACTCTCTCTCTCTCTCTCTCTCTCTCTCTCACACACACACTCCCTCTCTCTCTCTCTCTAAAAGACGCATACACAGACATATACGCACACATGCATATATATATATATATATATATATATATATATATATATATATATATATATATATATATATATATATAATGAGAATGCAGACAGAATGTTGAGAATTTAGCAAAGTAAACCTGTAAGCTATAATTTCTTACACTGAACAAATATTATTCACGTTAGTTCGTTCCGTTAAACAATTCGATATTTGTCACCAGGGAGTTTTGTTTCCATGACTATAGGCAATTCTGACCAATACTCGATTGCGATTAGAAACTAACAGTGCGATCATTCGCGTAAATTATTTAGTGCATATTTGATATTATGTGTGTTCCAACAAGCGTATGAGTATATATATATATATATATATATATATATATATATGTGTGTGTGTGTGTGTGTGTGTGTGTGTGTGTGTGTGTGTGTGTGTGTGTGTGTATATATACTCAGAGAAATGAGATAAAGTGAAAAAGCGTATATGTGTTAGGTTGGCATCTTCGTTTCTAAATGAAAGACAAAACTGTATTTTCATATTAAAGCTGCTAATTTCTTTTTGCTATGTTGGCCTAATGCGATGAGAATGAAAGAACAAAATTATGTTTTCCATAGTCTTATCTAAATAAATATAAAAGCATTTGTAGACATAGGTTTTTATTTACAGCTAGTCCACACGATACAAGGTAAAGGAAGGGACGCAGTCTCTCGTGAGTTTGATTCTGGGGAAGATGCTGTCTGAGTAAGGATGGTTTTCCACCAGTGAACATGTCTTGATTATCGCCCTGGCTATGAGGATGGTTTTCCACCGTGAACATGGCATGACGATCGTCCTGGCTATGAGAATGGTTTTCCATTCATGGCATGACGATCGTGAACTATGAGAATGGTTTTCACAGTGAACATGGCACGATCGTCCTGGCTATGAATGGTTTTCCACCGTGAACATGGCATGACGATCGCCCGTGCATGACGATCGAGAATAGTTTTCCACAGTGAACATGGCATGACGATCGTCCTGGCTGAACATGAGGATGTTTTTGTTTTTCCACCGTGAACGGCATGACGATCGCCCTGGCTATGAGAATAGTTTTCCACCGTGAACATGGCATGACGATCGTCCTGGCTATGAGGATGTTTTTCCACCGTGAACACGGCATGGCGCCTGACGATCGTCCTGGCTATGAGGATGGTTTTCCACCGTGAACATGGCATGACGATCGTCCTGGCTATGAGAATGGTTTTCCACCGTGAACGTCCTGGCTAGCGCGCATCGACGATCGTTTCCTGGCCTGGCGATTTTTTTTTCCACCGTGAACATGGCATGACGATCGTCCTGGCTGCTGAGGATGGTTTTCCACCGTGAACATGGCATGACGATCGTCCTGGCTATGAGGATGGTTTTTCCACGTGTGAACGTCCTGGCATGAGGATGGTTTTCCACCGTGATCGTCCTGGCTATGAGAATGGTTTCCCACCGTGAACATGGCATGACGATCGTCCTGGCTGAGAATGGTTTTCCACCGTGAACATGGCATGACGATCGTCCTGGCTATGAGAATGGTTTTCCACCGTGAACATGGCATGACGATCGTCCTGGCTTTGGTTTTCCACCGTGAACATGGCGCGGATCGTTCTGACTCGTCCTGGCGATGATGGTTTTCCACCGTGAACATGGCATGACGATCGTCCTGGCTATGAGGATGGTTTTCCAACGTGAACGTCCTGGCATGATGATCGTTCTGCCTATGAGGATGGTTTTCCACGGTGAGCATGGCATGACGATCGTCCTGGCGATGAGGATGGTTTTCCGCCGTGAACATGGCGACAGATGGTTTTCCGCCGTGAACATGGCATGACGATCGTCCTGGCTATGAGGATGGTTTTCCGCCGTGAACATGGCATGACGATCGTGGAGGATGGTTTTCCACCGTGAACATGGCATGACGATCGTCCTGGCTATGAGGATGGTTTTCCGCCGAGAAAATGGCATGACGATCGTCCTGGCTATGAGAATGGTTTTCCACCGTGAACATGGAATGACGATCGTCCTGGTTTTCCACCGTGAACGAATGGTTTTCCGCCGTGAACATGGCATGACGATCGTCCTGGCTATGAGGATGGTTTTCCACCCATGGCAACGATCGTCCTGGCATGACGATCGTTCTGCCTATGAGGATGGTTTTCCACCGTGAACATGGCATGACGATCGTCCTGGCTATGAGGATGGTTTTCCACCGTGAAAATGGCATGACGATCGTCCTGGCTATGAGGATGGTTTTCCACCGTGAACATGGCATGACGATCGTCCTGGCTATGAGGATGGTTTTCCACCGTGAACATGGCATGATGATCGTCCTGGCTATGAGGATGGTTTTCCACCGTGAACATGGCATGACGATCGTTCTGCCTATGAGGATGTTTTTCCACCGTGAACATTGGCATGACGATCGTCCTGGCTATGAGGATGGTTTTCCACCGTGAACATGGCATGACGATCGTCTGTTTTCCACCGTGAACATGGCATGATGATCGTTCTGCCTATGAGGATGGTTTTCCACCGTGAACATGGCATGACGATCGTCCTGGCGATGAGGATGGTTTTCCACCGTAAACATGGCATGACGATCGTCCTGGCTATGAGGATGTTTTTCCACCGTGAACATGGCATGATGATCGTTCTGCCTATGAGGATGGTTTTCCACCGTGAACATGGCATGACGATCGTCCTGGCTATGAGGATGGTTTTCCACCGTGAACATGGCATGACGATCGTCCTGGCTATGAGGATGTTTTTCCACCGTGAACATGGCATGACGATCGTCCTGGCTATGAGGATGTTTTTCCACCGTGAACATGGCATGACGATCGTTGGCTGTGGTTTTCCACCGTAACTGGCATGAGATCGTTCTGCCTGGAGAATGTTTTCCACCGTGAACATGGCGCGACGATCGTCCTGGCTGAGAGGATGGTTTTCCACCGTGAACATGGAATGACGATCGTCCTGGCTATGAGGATGTTTTTCCACCGTGAACATGGCATGACGATCGTCCTGGCTATGAGGATGGTTTTCCACCGTGAACATGGCATGACGATCGTCCTGGCTGTGAGAATGGTTTTCCACTGTGAACATGGCATGACGATCGTTCTGCCTATGAGGATGGTTTTCCACCGTGAACATGGCATGACGATCGTCCTGGCTGGCTGGTTTCCACCGATGTTTTTCCAACGTGAACATGGCATGATGATCGTTCTGCCTATGAGGATGGTTTTCCACGGTGAGCATGGCATGACGATCGTCCTGGCGATGAGGATGGTTTTCCGCCGTGAACATGGCATGACGATCGTCCTGGCTATGAGGATGGTTTTCCGCCGTGAATATGGCATGACGATCGTCCTGGCTATGAGGATGGTTTTCCGCCGAGAAAATGGCATGACGATCGTCCTGGCTATGAGAATGGTTTTCCACCGTGAACATGGAATGACGATCGTCCTGGCTATGAGAATGGTTTTCCACCGTGAACATGGCATGACGATCGTCCTGGCTATGAGGATGGTTTTCAACCATGAACATGGCATGACGATCGTTCTGCCTATGAGGATGGTTTTCCACCGTGAACATGGCATGACGATCGTCCTGGCTATGAGGATGATTTTCCACCGTGAAAATGGCATGACGATCGTCCTGGCTATGAGGATGGTTTTCCACCGTGAACATGGCATGACGATCGTCCTGGCTGGTTTTCCACCGTCGAGGATGGTTTTCCACCGTGAACATGGCATGATGATTGTCCGATCGCTGCCTGAGGATGGTTTTCCACCGTGAACATGGCATGACGATCGTTCTGCCTATGAGGATGTTTTTCCACCGTGAACATTGGCATGACGATCGTCCTGGCTATGAGGATGGTTTTCCACCGTGAACATGGCATGATGATCGTTCTGCCTATGAGGATGGTTTTCCACCGTGAACATGGCATGACGATCGTCCTGGCGATGAGGATGGTTTTCCACCGTGAACATGGCATGACGATCGTCCTGGCTATGAGGATGTTTTTCCACCGTGAACATGGCATGATGATCGTTCTGCCTATGAGGATGGTTTTCCACCGTGAACATGGCATGACGATCGTCCTGGCTATGAGAATGGTTTTCCACCGTGAACATGGCATGACGATCGCCCTGGCTATGAGGATGGTTTTCCGCCGTGAACATGGCATGACGATCGTCCTGGCTATGAGGATGGTTTTCCACCGTGAACATGGCATGACGATCGTTCTGTCTATGAGGATGTTTTTCCACCGTGAACATGGCATGACGATCGTCCTGGCTATGAGGATGGTTTTCCACCGTGAACATGGCATGACGATCGTCCTGGCTATGAGGATGGTTTTCCACCGTGAACATGGCATGACGATCGTCCTGGCTGTGAACATGGCATGAGATCGTCCCTGATGGTTTTCCACCGTGAACATGGCATGACGATCGTCCTGGCTGAGGATGTTTTCCACCGTGAGGATCGTTTTTCCACCGTGTTTCCACCGTGAACATGGCATGACGATCGTTCTGCCTATCGTTCTGCCTGCGGCATGGTTTTCCACCGTGAACATGGCATGACAATCGTCCTGTCTATGAGAATGTTTTCCGCCGTGAACATGGCATGACGATCGTCCTAGCTATGAGGATGGATTTCCACCGTGAACATGGTATGACGATCGTCCTGGCTATGAGGATTGTTTTCCACCGTGAATATGGCATGACGATCGTTCTGCCTATGAGGATGGATTTCCACCGTGAACATGGCATGACGATCGTTCTGCCTATGAGCATGGTTTTCCACCGTGAACATGGCATGACGATCGTCCTGTCTATGAGAATGTTTTCCGCCGTGAACATGGCATGACGATCGTCCTAGCTATGAGGATGGATTTCCACCGTGAACATGGTATGACGATCGTCCTGGCTATGAGGATTGTTTTCCACCGTGAACATGGCATGACGATCGTCCTGGCTATGAGGATGGTTTTCCACCGTGAACATGGCATGGCGATCGTTCTGCCTATGAGGATGGATTTCCACCGTGAACATGGCATGACGATCGTCCTGGCGATAAGGATGGTTTTCCACCGTGAACATGGCATGACGATCGTCCTGGCTATGAGGATGGTTTTCCACCGTGAACATGGCATGAAGATCGTTCTTCCTATGAGGATGTTTTTCCACCGTGAACATGGCATGACGGTCGTCCTGGCTATGAGGATGGTCTTCCACCGTGAACATGGCATGACGATCGTCCTGGGTATGACGATAAACTACATCAGCATCCTGGGTAAGACGATAAACTATGTCCAGCAGCAAGGCCTCGAATCAAGACCGTGGAATCACCTCTTAATTGCTGGTGTTCCTAGATCCACCCTGACCCGAGGTGGTAGCAGCTATTAAGATCCCACATATGAGCAAGTAGTTTACCCCCAAACTGCGGTCAAAGCACTATGTAAGTTTAAAACAGGTTTTAATGCCAGAAATACTTTAAATTTTTGAAGAAAAATTATTACTAGCAATACATTATTACCAGCAATACATTTAAAAAAGAACAAAATATTACCAGCTATACATTTAAAAAAATATTACCAGCAATAAAATCTTGTAGGTATTAAATAAGCCAGTGAGGTTTATAAGTCGTAAAGCAAAGCAAAGCAAACTAATCTAACACGTTTAACTTTCATAAAATCTTCTCCATGGAATGGGATATGGAGAAAATTAAAAATGTTCTACAACAACCGGTGTTTGCGTAAAACCTCCCCAAATCAACATGATGACAACAGCCAAACATAAATAATGTCTACTAGACACACACACACACATTGATACACATACACTGACACACATACACTTACGAATATACCTTATCATCTGAATCCCATAAAGACAAACTAGAATTAGGATACATTTACATACATAACATATATACTTCAAAAGGACGTGTTGTCACTCCTTGAGTTCGGAACGCCATGAATTATATTAACATTGTTTAAAAATTTAAATACACGTGAAGCATGATTAAACAATGAAAAACAAATAACACAAAAATAAAAAAATACCAGAATTTCTTTCTTTTTTTTTTTTTTTTTCTCCATATATCATTCTCCAATGAAGAGTTGATAAAAACAGAAACATGCTAGATTTCCTATTTTTTTCCTATTGTTTCATTCTGTCGGATTCCAATCCATATTTTATCTGTATTTGATCCGAATTCATACTACAAATATACATATCTATTTTATTATTTGGGGGACTTATTATTTCTGACATCATTCTGTTCTGTTTTTCTTCCGTTCATTATTTCAGTTTATATATATATATATATATATATATATATATATATATATATATATATATATATATATATATATATTAGCCAAATTCAATAAATAATATGAGATTTAAAATTACTCACGATTCCACGAGAATGTAACACTGCCTACATTAATTTAGGTATTAAATAAAAACAAATCTTCCTACAAAGAATCGAAATTACTTCTCTTCTGTACAATCTATCTTAAAATTAATTGTTTCTAATCTGTGAAATTCCGTTGTTAATTGTCCGTGTTCATAAGATGAACTATATTCACTAAAAGATTTCTTCATAGTATATTTGCAAGGAAGATGAGTGTTTTATTTTCCAGTCGGCAATATCTTTACAATTGTAAGCTCTGAAAACTGTTAATTCGAATTGTCTGAATTTACAGCAAACAAATCATCTGAATGTTAAGTTTTTATCCCAATTCAAACCGCTTCAATTTGAACAGAATTTAAACACTAGACCAAAGAATGCATCATCAAACCTAATATGTTATGATAGGAACTGTACAGAAGCATAAACTAATACACAAGGAGCGGAATATTAAGAAACGTGTGTTGCGATGTTTCGGTTTCATTCAGTGGTTGTCAAATGAAAGAATACCTTAACATCCCACGAGATTGGCACCAGCTGGGACAAGAAAGAGAGGCAGGCCCACAACAAAGTAACAGAGGACAACGATGATGGAACCGATAGAGATAAGCCTCAGATGGGACGAAACACATACCAAAGCACAA